AAATATCCAATATGAGCTAAGTACTTTCAGGTCTAGTGGGAAACGTTGCATGATGGTAGCTCAAACCATTCTTTGGCCCAGTTAATGTGTTTGGATTAAATTAAGTGTATAATATCCGTGTATAGTTAGTTGTTTCTGCTTAAATAATTGGTTTGTTATAGCTGTTACAATATTATATTCTTGTTGTCTTCGTGAGAGATATCTCGTTTCGGCTGTAGTATTTCTTCTTCCCAGCTGGCTTCTGAAGAGAACGAGTGTGTGTTTTTTCAATGTGTATGTTCTAGTAGTCTCAGTTAGTTGTAGTGAAGTTCATCATTTGGAGTGACAAGTCACAAACACTCTTAAGACAAACATAACATTTGATAAACTTCTAGTAAACCCAGAGGTCCTTGTATTATCATACGAAACAATGTAGTAATATTTACAAAGTACTTGCTAGGTAGCTTATAACTATCGGGTCCATTTGTTCCGTTCTCGTTTACCAAGCTTTCAAAGAAAGTTTCTGTTTAGACAAATGCTGCACATGCTATTTTTCACAAGGCCTGGTGGCTAGGGCGCTCGACTCTCGCAATCTGAGGGTCGTGGGTTCGAATCCTCTATACCGACTACACTCGCCCTTTCAGCCGTAGGGGCATTATAATGTGCGGTCAATCCCACTATTCCTAGATAAAAGAGTAATTCAGTATTTGGCGTTAGGTGGTGTTGACTAGTTGCCTTTCTTCTAGTCTGTCCCCCAGTGGCACAGCTGTATGTCTGCGGACTTACAACGCTAGAAACCAGGTTTCGATACCCGTGGTGGGCAGAGCACAGATAGCCCATTGTGTAGCTTTGTGCTTAATTACAAAACAAACAAACCTACTGTAAAGATATTTATAATGTACAAAATCAATTACCAAGTAATAAAAATTGGTAACAATGGACATTCACTTACAGGTAATAGCATCAAAGTATATATATATATGTGTGTGTGTGTGTGTACCTCTGTGTATAGATTAGTATTTTTTTTAACATTATTCTTGGAATTACAACAAGGGCAATGAGGTCTATTTCCGACTGTCACGTGATTTCCTCGTGTGTGTTTTTGCTTTTGTTATTACCATTAGAATTATATTTTCCTATGTTTCTGCATGTAGTGACATATGAACCAGAAATCGATAATGTGATATTCGTAACAACGCTTCGAGTTTGAGTATATTATTAAGAAAGTGTTTCTATTATAGACTAAACATGATCATGTGTGAAAGTATCGTGACTTCTAGTCACTTGGTTTCGACAGTGTATACACGTATGTTTAAAAATAAAAACGTTCTTTAGTAAATATTCGTTTTATTATAGACATAGAGATGGTTACACATTATAGTATCGTGAATTCTAATCACTTGGTTTCTAAAATATTTATTTTTGTTTTAGAGCAAAGCCACATTGGGCTATCTCCTACGTTTACTTCGGGGAATCGAATCCCGAATTTTAACGTTATCAGTCCGGAAACTTATCGCTGTCCCAATGGGGGACAAAACACTCATATACGCATGTTAAAAATATGAAGGTTATTTGGTAAATATTTTAACCTTGCCACACTTTATGACTTTTCAATTAATATAACTTTTTAGCTCAATTATAAACCAGTTTATGAAGCTTGGGACTCATATAGGAGGGATCATTAATCGTTTTAATATTTTTTTTTACCTTTAACAATATGATATTTAGCTGATAGTTTATTTAGTCTGGTTTCGTTGATAAGTTATTGAGAAAAAGCTATGAAGAAAAGGGTGAAAAAATTAGCAATAAACAATTGTTGAGTTAAATCATTTATTTTACCAGTTTTTAAAGTCGTTCTTGTTTTATTACATCTTGAATACAACCCGCACGAACTTCACGATTTAAAGCTAGTAAAATACTTGATCAGATTATTGTAAAACTGGTTTCACTTTCAGCAGGTTTTGACATTTACTTATCCATGAACTGTACTGAATGTTGTTAAGTGACTTTGTTGCCCCTCCCTCCCCCTTACAGCAAGCATAATTGCCCCTACCATTTCATCTATTATAAGCTCAAAGCACGTAGTTTAGTCTACTGTATACATAACTGTGCTGTTAAGTGATTAATGACAGAAGTATTATGATTTATATACTCTGAAAAAAGATTCTTCCACATTTTCCAACTACTACAAATTTTCAATTTTGACCAAAAGGAGGCGCAAAAAGTCTGATGAAGAACTGTACAAACATCGTTAGTTTAGGGTTACAATTCTATAATTATGTCAGATTTTAATTAAAATGTCTTCTTCGTTTTTTGATTGGAATTAATCAAAGTAACGAGCAACATGAAGCTTGAAAATGTGTATGATACCTGCTATTGAAAAACACCCTTGTCTGTTGCTACATTCTTCATAAGTACGTTTTGATAATAATGAAGCCGAGAAATTGTAATTTAGTTAACTAAGATTCTCTATAAAGCAGAGGAAATTTTACTAATTAAGATAACATATAAAGCAGGCAAAATAATATTCCTTTTTCTAACCATAGAAAGAATAGCTAGAACACTTTAACCTATTTATTAAAATTTGGCTTTTTTAAATATTCATTTGCTATCTTGCATATCAAAACTAATTATATTATTATTATGTACACAGTTTTGTACACTGTGAAAAATTGTCCACTGGCAACATTGTACTCATTTGTAGATCTTAACCATACAATGCTGCTGAATTAAACAACAGTTTGTAAATAATGACGTTAAAAACATATTTGTAAATAATGATGTACTATTGTGAGGGGCTTATCCAGATATCAGTAAACATTTAAACAATCATTTGTAAATAATGATGTACCTTGCTTAGGTCTTATCCACACAACGGTACACAGTTAAACAATAACACAGGCATGCGAATTTAAACTTCATAAAAGTTGTTTTGGTTTTAATAACTGATTTTCCATAATTCAGCTATGCAGATTTCGAAAATAATATTTATTTTTTTCTATCACGTAAGGTTTTCTTACAAATCAAATCGGGAAGAAAAAAATTTGTTACTTAGGTCAAATTATTATTTCGTTTCCCACAATGAACATTTTTTATTATTATGTTTGGGTTCTAGATCGATCGATAAGACTCTCACGTCGCGATTGGTCTAGAGAAATCTCTAGCTAGTGGTTGTCAATATTTTAAGCATAACAAAATGTGACCCGATTTCAATGAAAATGATTCATTTATGTAAAAGTACATATGACGTTTTGTGAAAAATCTGTACGTAATGAAGAAAAATTGATATCATTTTCGGATTCAGAGTACAGGAATTACTGTAGAACATGTAAACATTTCAAGACAATAAAACCATCGCAGGCCTGTGTAATTTGTAAATAATGAGTTTACCCTTGTGAAGGTCTTATCCAGAAAGCAACACAGAAAATCATCATGTGTACAAAATGACATATACTTTTATACAACAACACATATTTTTCAAACATTAATATACATCGAATACATGCATTTTGTATGTGTATAATGTCTAAATAATGCAAATGTTTTATAGATACAAATGTACAAGTAACGTAAAGGTTTTAAAGATAACAATGTAAAGCAAATGCAAATGTTTTGTAGGTAATAAAGTACACTTAATGCCGGTAGTTTTGTAGACAATAATGTAAACCTACTGCAAATATTTTGTAGCTAATAATGTAAACTCAATGCAAGTATTTTGTAGGTAATAATGTACACTTAATGCTGATGTTTAGTACTCAACAATGTATACTTAATTCAAATATTTTGTAGCTAATATTGTAAACTTAATGCAAGTATTTTGTAGGTAATAATGTACACTTAATGCTGATGTTTAGTACTCAACAATGTATACTTAATTCAAGTATTTTGTAGATAATAATGTACACTTAATATTGATGTTTCGTGGACAATAATGTACACTTAGTGTTGATATTTTGTAGATAGTAATGCACACTTAATGTTGATGTTTCATGGACAATAATATACACTTAATGTTGATGTTTCGTGGACATTAATGTACACTTAATGTTGATGTTTCGCGGACAGTAATGTACACTTAGTATTGATATTTTGTAGATAGTAATGTACACTTAATGTTGATGTTTCGTGGACAATAATGTACACTTAGTGTTGATATTTTGTAGATAGTAATGCACACTTAATGTTGATGTTTCATGGACAATAATATACACTTAATGTTGATGTTTCGTGGACATTAATGTACACTTAATGTTGATGTTTCGCGGACAATAATGTACACTTAGTGTTGATATTTTGTAGATAGTAATGTATGCTTAATGCAAGTATTTTTTAGATAATAATAATGTACACTTAATGTTGATGTTTCGTGGACAATAATGTACACTTAATGTTGATGTTTCGTGGACAATAATGTACACTTAGTGTTGATATTTTGTAGAT